CCGACTTGGCATTAGCAATTCCGATTTTAGAAGAAGCTTTAAAAGCTCTTAATACGCTAAAACCTGCGGATATTGTTTTAGTAAAATCTATGAAAAACCCTCCTGATACCGTTAAATTAGTTATGGCAGCTGTATGTGTTATCAAGGGTATACCTCCCGATAGAATTCCTGATCCGTCCACAGGAAAAAAAATTCTCGATTATTGGGGACCCAGTAAAAAACTGCTCGGCGAAATGACATTTTTACAACAGCTCAAAGAGTTTGATAAAGATAATATACCCGAAGTGTACATGGACAAAATACGTAAAGAGTATTTACCGAATAAGGTATTTAAACCTGAAGTTGTGGCTAAAGCGTCAAGCGCTGCTGAAGGATTGTGTAAATGGATCATTGCCATGGATCTATATGATGAAGTAGCAAAAGTAGTCGGTCCGAAGAAAGCTAAATTAGAGCAAGCCGAAAAAGATTTTGCCGCAACTATGTCAGTACTTAATGAAAAACGAGCTCTAGCTTGTCAGCTGGATGAGAAGGTAGCAATTTTGAATGCTTCACTTGATGATTCTAACGTAAAAAAACAGAAACTGGAAGATGATGTCGAGCATTGTACAAAAAGGCTTATCAAAGCTGAGAAACTAATAAGTTGTCTGAGTGGAGATCATGCTCGTTGGAGTGAGATGGTTAATAAGTTGCAAGGAAATATTGACACATTGATTGGAGACATGTTTATATCGGCCGGTATAATCGCCTATTTAGCACCGCTTACAGCGTGGTATAGGAAGAAGTGTATAGGCTCATGGATAGCATATTGTGCTGAATTTGAAATCTCTTGTTCTCATCCATACATGTTGACTGATGCATTGGGTAGTGATATCGAAATACAAAGTTGGTATGTGAATAGCTTGTCAGTTGATTCATTTTTGACGGATAGTGCCATCATACAAAAATATTCAATGCGTTGTTGTTTATTAATTGATCCTCAAAAGCAAGCTTTATGTTGGATAAAATCAATGGAAAAAATGAACAATTTAACGATTCTGAATACCTTAGAGTTACGGCATACAGCAAAAATAATGAAATGTATAGAAAGCGGTACGCCGGTTTTAATTCAAAATCTAATTGATCTTGAGCCAGCCTTTGATGCGTTACTTCTAAATTATAGTTTTAAACAAAACGGGAAAGACTATATATGCTTTGGTAATGCTACAATTAGATACAATAATATGTTTCGTTTATATTTAATATCAAATTTTAATAAACCACAATATTCAGCTGACGTTTTTAATAAAGTTACTATAATCAATTTTTCTTTGACAGAAGAAGGATTAGAGGACCAATTGCTTAAAACAGTTTTCACTAAAGAAATCCCAGATATCCAAGACCAAAATCAAAAATTATCTAAAGATATAACTTCATATAAAGCAGAATTGAAACAAATTGAAAGCGATATGTTGAAAATTTTATCCGAAAGCAAAAGTGATATTTTAGAAGACGAACATGCGATAGAATTACTTTATTGTTTCAAACAGAGTTCTGATGAGATACATCAAAAAGAGAAAATAAATAAAGACGCACAGTTTATTATTTATGAACGAAAGATTGATTATCGACCAATAGCTAAACATGCAAAGGAACTATTTTTTTGCATCAAGGATTTGTCACAAATAAACTTTATTTATCAATTCTCATTAAAATGGTTTATTAATCTTTTCATAATTTCTATTAAAACCAGTAATCGATCTAAAATCTTGAATAAACGTCTTGAATATTTATATGAAACGCTGACATATAAGCTATACTACGCAATTTCAAGATCATTACTGGAAGCTGATAAAATTTTATTTTCATTTATTTTATGTACTAGACTTAAATTATCGCGAAATGAAATTGATATTGATGAATATAATTTTTTTATTAATAAAACACCAAAGATAAAAATTGATGAAAATGAACATTTCATTGGTGATTGGCTGAATGACAGTGTTTGGAGAGAATTATGCGCATTGGACGCTCTTCCAAAATTTGATGGAATTAAGAAATCATTTATGACTGACCAAAAATGGAAAGAATTATGTAACGAACAAGTTTATTTTGACAATTTTCCTTCACCTTGGGATGAACGCTTAAACTTATTTCAGAAATTAATTGTTACATCTATAATACATCCAAATAAAATAATAACTGCAGTGACAAACTTTGTAGAAGCTGAAATGGGGTCACAATTTGTGGACGCGCCATTATTTGATATTGTCACATGTTATAACGAATCAAATTATATGACCCCTATTATATTTATTTTAACACCAGGCTCTAATCCTTTGCAGTATCTTACAAAATTTGCTAAATTAAAATATATGATCCATAAGTTACACTGTATATCGTTGGGTCAAGGCCAAATTGACAAGGCGTATTCATTAATACAGAAAGCCAAAAAGGAAGGTAATTGGGTATGCATAGAAAACTGCAGTTTATCACCAGCGTTATTGTCAAATTTATCAATAGACTTTGAAAATATAAATACAGCAAACACGCATATAGATTATCGAATGTGGCTTACAAGTACGCCATCACACAATATTCCATTGTCTTTGCTACAAGATAGTATAAAAATTATTGACGAACCTCCAAAGGGTGTCAAAGCCCAATTAATTAAATATTTTCAAACAAGCATAATTAAAGACAGCGCATTTTTTAATGGCTGTCCTGGTAAAGACAAAACATTTACTAAATTAATGTATGCTGTCTGCTTCTTCCACTGCATTTTGCAAGAACGCAGAGAATTTGGTGCATTGGGGTGGAACAAACCGTATGAAATTGATGAATCTGATTTACAAATATCTTTGCAGCAAATGCAAATTCTCATCAATAAATATGAACAAGTTCCATTCGACTTAATATCTTATGTAGTAGGTGAGTTAAATATTTCTTTGTAGTGAGTGTAAACTGAATATTCGTGTTCTTCCTAATTAGTTTATTATAAAACATGTTGACGCTATATTTTGATTAACACATTTCAATTCATGTTTACAGGAGAATGTAATTATGGTGGTAAAATAGAAGATGTTTGGGATCGTCGGTGTATTACTGAAATTCTGGAAGATTTTGTATGCCCTGATGTGACGTTAAAACATGGTTATCTATTTTCCAATATTTCTAAACAGTATGGTTTACCATACAGATGCGAACATCACGACTATATTACACACATTCATAAAGTGCCAAGAGAAACAGTACCTGAAGTACTTGGTTTACATTCTAATGCTGGATATACATACAATTGTATGGTAAGTTCATTTTGAGACGTTTTTGTGCATAACAAGAAAAAAATTTAAACACATTTATTAGTTTTTGTCGGGATAATGTTCAAACATGTTTGAAGCCTAAAATCTTGATTTAGAAATCTAAATTGACTAGTACTATATTTGATGAAGCTAATGAATGTCACTTTATATAGGTTATAGAATAATATTGTAATCATAAAAAAATCGGAAATAAATATTATTGTATATCTTTACGTTTCAGACGTTTTTAAATATTTTGGCATACCTTAAAAAAATAGATGTATGTGTGTTTGTGCGTATGTATAGATACAATTCTTAAACTCCCTTATATACTTCAAATAAATAATTTTAACAATTAAGATTATATAATACTTAGAAATATGAGATAAGATCCTTCATTTTAACTCCACCTGATCCAGTTTCGTTTACTTTTCATGTAAAATATAGATACGAATAAAGAAAGTTACAGTATTTATAATAATCTATTTGAAATCATTTCATATTCCTCGAATGTTTCATTACGTACGGTACAGTAAGTTTCAGCAATTTGCCTTAAGGCACGATGCCATGCACCACTAGTTAGATTTTCTCTTCCTGTTATTTCGTCTTGGATTGTTTGTATAATCTTTAGAGATGTTTTGCCGAATTAAATATTACTATATGAAATTATTTGACATATAAATAGTATTTTGAAAACATACGACTACGTAATCAGTTTCTTCGTAATTAACAGTAAGATATTTATTGGGAATAGTGCTGATTAGTTTTTGGCAAAGATCTGTCGAATCGTTACTTTGTAATTAAATGTAGAATAAAACTTATAAGCACTTTCAATGATAATTATAATGGCTATAGTATACATGGTCCGAACGAATATTCAAAAGTATTATAGTCCTACGAAAAGTGGTTAAAATATAAAAAAATCATTAAAATTTGGAACAATGCGCTGCATTTTTAGAACATACAAACTCGTGTATGTGTACTAAAATAAATTTTATTACTGTGATTTTAAGATTGTTTGAAACGTGACCGTTTTGTAACTGTTTGATTGGTTTTTAGTAAAAATGAAAATAAACATTTTCAAATAGCACCAATTTGCAAGCATTATATATATTTTATAACACTATTCCTAAATTTTCAAAATTTATGAATCCATCCAATCTAAAATTTAAAGCTGTTTTTTTAATACATGTTATATTTTTGATACATTTTTTCTAATACGAAATGAAGTAAAGAAGCTAATTTTTGTTGATTTTCTGATCCCACTTTACTCGACTTAAAATAATGTTGAAGATTACATTAGTTGCATTCAAAATCTCATCTCAAATTATTTCAGGTGTCTGCCAACTTCTTCAATTCTATACAATTATTGCAAGGACAAAAGTTTGTACAAATACCTTCTATCGATAATTCAGGAGAGATTCTTGCAGCAAAAACGAAAGATATTTTAGAAAAATTACCGAACAAATTAAATTTTGAAGCATTATGTCGTAAATTTCCATGCGAATATTTGCAGCCTTTGAATGCAATTGTTCATCGAGAAGTTGAGTTTCTTAATCGGTTATTAGATGAAATAAAATCGTCTCTTACTAGTTTAGTAAAAACTTTTCGTGGATCGATGGTTATGACAGAAGAGTTCGAAGCGTTAGCTAATGAATTGCTTATTGGTTGCATTCCAACATGTTGGGAAAAATATTTGTATCCCACGACGAAAAACTTGTCCGAATTTTTAATGGATTTTGTTGAAAGAATTAAATATTTTTGCAATTGGATTACAAGAGAACCTGAGGAGAATTCCAAAACACCTTCAACTTTCTGGATCTCAGGCTTTTGTTATGTACAAGGTTTTCTTACGGCTGTACTACAAAGATATTCGAGAGTATTCGAAATTTCTATTTGCGATTTAACTTACGATTTTGAGGTAAATGTACATATCAATAATAAATGCGTCACAATGAACATTTAAAAATTTTATCAAATATTTCATTAAATAGGTAATAAATAACATCGATCAATACAACGCAACTGCAAAGGACGCTATAGTTTATGGAATGTTTTTAGTTGGAGCTAGATGGAATAAAGAAACTAGCTCGTTGGAAGAACAGGATTTCAAAATAATAAGCTACAAAATGCCATTTATAAGATTCATTCCAATTTCAAAAGAAAATCTTATAGAAGATGATAAATACGAGTGTCCTGTTTATATAACTTCTACAGAACGAGAATCACTTTGTTCAACCGGACACTCCAAAAATTTTATTTTAAGTTTACTATTACCAACGAAAGAGTCACCGAAGCATTGGATAAAACGAAATGTTGCTGTTTTATGTCAGTTGAATTCAACAGATTACAAATTAACGCAAAATTACTCGGATTACTGGTGAAATTATTTTTGCAAATATTTTTGTTGAATACTAAATTTGGTAAACTCGACGGCATGTCTCATATATAGTTTATCCCTCTACCCGACGTTCAATTTTTTTTTGCAAGATTTTGTGTCTTGTGCCTCGGATTTCAATTTTCTTTATTTTTTGTTTTCAGGCAATTTGTCGATCATCTGCGTTCTTGTTCGATACAGTCCATTTAATACTCCTCTAGTTTACCTTCAATAACGGTAATTTTTGGAAAAAATATACAGATGTATATATTCTAAAATCTTACACGCATTCAATCCAAAATAAAAAACAATTTTCAGAATGACTTCTAGTAAAAAAACTAATTATTTCGAATTACATTAAATTGCTATCAATGCGATTGTTCTAATTGATTTTAGATAATGTTAATGATTAATAGCAACGCTATAAATACTAATATATAATTATGTATAGAAGATGTTTTGAGCATATGAAATAAATAAAAATGCTATTTGTATGTCATTGAAGAGTTTTATCTTAAAAATAAAATGGTTTCATAAAATTTAATATTTTAGATAACGACCACAAGTAGATCAATTACTGTAAATTATTAATATATATTGATATTATATATTAATTATAATTTATATATTATTATAAAATACAAAACTGTTACTTATTTTAGAAATTTTTGTTTGCAAAATATATTATTTCAACATGACAATTCGATATCCCTTTGTAATCTACTATAATTTTTTTAGAACAGTGTAGACTTCCTTTCCTTTTTTAAATTGGTGTAAAAATTAAATGGATCCTAAAGAAGATATAGATAACTATCAATATATGTTTGAATGAAATTACTATTGATCAATATTATTTTTTCGAGGAAGAGAAATATTGATACTAACCGCAACCAAGTAAACATAAGATTATCCAATCGTGACACAATCAAAATGAAAAACCTGAAAAATATCCATATATATTGTATACGCACTTACAATTGCTTTACTTACTAAATATTTTGGTGTTTGTTCTTACAAAAAGCGGTTTTTCAGCTTCAAATATAATAGTTTGTAGGTCTACGCACATGTGAGGTTTTGGCCATAGTTTGATATCGTACATTACTAAACAAAATTTCAACAGACTATTCAGTGGTTTTGGAATAGGCATCAGTGCACAAATAGGATCCACATTGATTCCATCTGTTACTAAAATTATGCAAAAGTTATATAAACAATTGGTAGCACTAACACTAAATAAATGTAGTCATAGGGGCCAATTATCTGATAAAATAGAAATGTTATGGCAGCCCTACGTTACGGTCTTTGTATGAATTTGTAGTCAAAAGTAGTCAAATAGCTATGTATTTGCTGTGCGATCAGGCGTTTTCCACATAAAACCTAACCTACAAAACGCAAAAACGTCAAATGACAATTTTATCATAAGTGCATCTTTTTAATGTGGCCTTGATAACACAAGAAGTTAGGTAGGTTAGTACGTTATCAAATGGAAACCTTAATCAAAATGTAATCATATGCTACCAAATCTCTACAAAACTATCTTAATGGAATTAAACTGATTTCAAAAAAGCTTGCAAAAAGCACTCGATTCAGTTTTCCAACGAGAAACCACAGAAGATTTTTCCGATGGCATCATGCCTTCGAAAAATGGCGAAACATTGTCGATATTAATTAAGCATATTTAGATTAATAAATTTATTTTCACCCTACAAAAAAACTTGTTGAGATTCACTAAATAAACGAAATGAACTTTTTATACGATCCAATAATTTCAAATCTTTTTTGAATCAAAGCTCAATTCTCTAATAAACTTAATCTCTCACAAAAAATGACAAAAATTTCTTAAATCATTTGAAAGGTGTTCGATGATTACCACTATTTGTTTATGTTCAATAATATAATATTTAATCTTACGTGGATTTTTCAGTCTCTGCCTCTTTTGTTCGCCATTGTTAATTTTCAACGATGCATCAAACATTCTTCGGTTTTTGTTAATTTTTATGTCACCGCATACTGAAAAGGTTGAATTGCTATTAAATTCGTAGTTGTTAATCAATATAATTCATTTTTATCACTTTTATGCCATATCGATTTTATTCACACATTTTTAATTCAGAAGTTCTTACTCTTGTATCCAGAATTTTCAAATGTAGCCACTTCCAGTTATAAAATTGCAATTTTTCATAATTATTATTATTATATAATATACACAAATTATTATATTAATATATTAATATTATACTATAAACCAAAAATTCAGTAAAAAATCTAAGTAACTAAAGTCGCTATAGAGAATATGACAATCGTCAAACATTCACATTTCGCCCCTAAATGTTGTTATTTTCATTTACCGCCGCGTGCGCCAAAATTAAAAATTTAAATAGGAATTTATTTTTGAACGATCGATGTGGATATATCATTGTACACCTGTGCAAGATTTTTTTTAAGGTGTGCCAGAATGATTCGTTTTCAAACGTGTAATTAGGGATAGAAATAAAAACTTAGAACTAAAATAAGAAATACGAATTCATTAATATGCAATGAGATAAAATGGTTGAAATAACTAATTTTAATATTAACAAAATGAATTTACTGAACCTTCTCCAATATTTATTTCTCCAATTGATAGCCCAATGCAGCATTCACAGTAAGCATTATTATCGCAATTGCATTTCCTGGGAGCGGTTTTGTAGAAATCTATGGACTTATTTGCTCTTACATTTTCATATAACTCCAATTTCGTTTTTTTTACATTTTCATAATATTTTATTCGATGATGTTTTTTTAAATAATCTAAAACGAAAATTATAAATTCCACTTTGTCTATTTATTAAATATTTTATTACATGAAGTTTTCAACTCGTACCGAGATAATTATTTCTTTCTTGTGCTAAAACAACGCCAATAAAAAATATTAAGTAATAAAATTTAGTCGACATTGGAATGAATGTCCTTTACAGTAAGATATTTTCCGATTTCATTACTCACTGAGTTGAAATTATAATGGTTTAAAAATGCAAGGTTGGTTTTATCAACTCTTAGGTAATTTACATTATTATCGACAGAAAATGCTTTCCGTGTTATATATTTCTAGCTGCATACACTTTACATAATTACCTACAATTATTTAGAATTTTTATAAAATAGTTTCGGATTGTAATTTTGCACCTTATCGGTATTTATACGTTTTAATTATATTATGATATGCATATATATATATATATATATATATATATATATATATACCCAGCGATACTCAATTTTTTCAACCTGTCTTAAAATGTGCGATTTCTGTATCTTCTGCGGCAGAGATTTTGTACGATTTTGTCCGAGAGCAAACAGTTTTTGAGTTTGGAAAATTTTACAAATATGACAAATCTGGAGAATGTTGTTGAATGAGCAGCAATTCGTAGCTTATATAACTTGTTATAGGTCTATAATATTTTACGATATTCGTTTTGTCTATCAACTATATTACTATGCAATGTTTCGTCAAATTCTCAGACGATTCAGCCTGATTTTCTTGTAAGTTGATATTTAATATCTACGTTTTATCCGCCGCATTGGTCGATTTTCGTATGATTTTTGTATGTTCCTGATAATGTGTTAATTTACCTGGAGCTACTTCTTTGCGTTATTTTTGCAGTTATCAGCAGCAAAAGTCTCAGTGGTTATATGAATTAGCTAGACATTGGTTATAATGTAATTTTTTTTAAAAATTAATTATAAAATTATAAACGTTTGTAAGGCAGGTGTAGACCAAAACAATGCTCCGTGGATTTCAGGGAGGCAGAGTAAACTATGTTGGAAACTGGCTTGTCGCTGGTTTGACATTTGTGTTCGAGCAATAGTTTCCTCAGTAAAGTTTCTTGAACAGTATATATATATATATATATATATATATATGTATATATATATCTTATATATAAAAATGGAGCTCTCTTTCAAATGTCCAAGTAAAACTCGAAAACGGCTAAACCGATTTGACTAGTCTTAGTCTTGAAAAATGCGTGCCAATCCAGAGATGGTCGGAAAGGTGAGATATTATTTCAAAATCGCGTAGAAACTTTATATTTTTAATTTGAAAATTTTTGTTGAAGCGTAATGTAAATAAAACAATAGACGGTGGCTAATACTTGAAATGTCAAACGTTTTTGACAGATGATGTTCGATTATGTTTAATAAGATGTTTTACATGAATATTATTTAATTATGATTAAATTGTAGCAAGTAGTTTTGTTTGTAGTTTTTTTTTACATACAAAAACGTTATTAAACGGGCCGCAAGTGTTACTAAAATTCAAAATATCAACTTTTTTGAAATGTTAATATGAAAATGCACTTTTTGTTTTATTTTTCTCAAACACGAAGCTCTGAAAGATCTCATTTGTATAATTATATTCTCATTGGTATTTATAAAACATTTTCTAGGTTATACTATTTTTTATTTATGTTATTTAAATTCAGAACCTAAATTTGGTATCGATCAAATGGACATTTTGTCGAATAACATTTTCTCAGTTACAATTTCCCAGTATTTATAGAAGAATAGATAATAATATATGAAGGTCCGGTGTTAAAAAGGTCTACCAACGATGTGTCAAAAACCCGTAAAGTTAAGCATTGATTAACAACAATATTTGAAAGTAGAGGAAAAAAGATGTATAGCTATAACCTTGATTTGAAAACGGTAATCTTTGAAATGAGGGAGATAAACGCTTCTCTTTGAAAATCTATAATAAAAGTATTTTCCTCCGTTCGTAGTTTTTTAGCATTAGTTAAAAATGTAATTATTTTATAAAATACCTTTAAAATTATAATAAGGATTTAAACCTTTTTGCCACCTGCCCGTTTTAAGTTACCCCGCCTAAAGGGTAAAAAGGTCTAAATAACAAATTTTTGAAAGACATCAAAAAAACACATTTCTACAATGATGAAGTAGAAGGCAGTTTACTGAACGTAGTCAGATAATTGTTCGTTTGATATGTGTTATTTGTTGTGATATAATTGTTATGGTTTTCACAATATAGTTTATATTTGCTCAAAGTTTTTTGGACCTTTGTGCCTCGCCCTGCTCTACATACATA